TCTTCCTTCCTCTCTTCCCCCCTCTTCCTCTCTCTTTCTCTCCCTCTTCTCTTTCCTTCTCTCCCTCTCTTCCTCCCTCCCTCTCTCCCTCTCCCCCTACCCGCTCCCTCCAGTCCTCCCATCCTCCCTTCTCCCCCAACCCTGCCCAGTGTTTCCAGAGATCACACTGTTTAGGAAATGTCCTACATAGCCGCCTTGGTTTCTTTTTTTTCCTCTTGGGTATTAGTTGTCACTGTGGTATAAGAGCTGTATTGAAATAACCACAGTTTTTAAGTCAAGGGAAGTAATTACACATGAAAAGTTCTGTGGGTGTGGTAAAGGGAACTGATGAGAAGCCTAAAGTAGCAAGCCTCAGGCTGTTCTAGATTAGTGCTTCTCAAACTTTAATGTGCACACAAGTCTCCTGGGGAGCTTGTTAAAATGCAGGTTCCGATACAGTGGGTCTGGAGTGGGGCCCAAGATGCATTTTTAATAAGTTCCTACAGTAGCCAGGCTCTAGGGAAGTTTGGAGACCTGGGTGATGTAGGTTCCAAGGCACTCACTTCTGGTAGGTGAGATAGGTGAGATGGTCTTCAAGGTATTTGATCAAAAGAGGGGTGTCAAGAAAATGAAGACGAGAAGATGTAAAGTCCTGGGTATTAATTTTTAAAAGTCACTAGTGAATGGAATGGTGCATGACAGAAGACAAAGCTTGGAATCAGAAAGAATTGGGTCCCACTCTTGTCATTCACTAGCTGTTACTTTCACAAATGCTTGCCCTAGGAGTCTTGGTTTCCTTTTGTTAAGATGGGATAATAATACCCACTTTTTAGGATTCAGTGAAGATTATTTACCTAAAGTGCTTCTGACGGTGTCTGGCACGTCCTAGATGTGCAGCAAATGGATGTGGCCATTAGTGAGGGGGTGGAACGGGGCTGGACCTGACCCACATTAGCACAGATGACTGACCATGAACTCCCAGCACTTACGGAAGTGGAGTTCATTAGTGGCCAACGCGTGTTGTCATACCATTTTGTTTCTAGACAGGCTTATTATCAGATTAGAGGAGTGCTATAGAGATGAGCCCTAGCTTTGACACAGGAATTTGACAAAGCTCCAAGGTATCTTTGCAGAGGTGATAAAAAAAAAAAGAAAAGAAAAAAAAGGGGGCAGGTAGTGGATCGATTTATGGCTGGTAGGACAAGACAAGCCAACACTGTAGTGAACACAAATTGGTGTGAATGAGAAAAGAGGCCTACGGTGGCACCCATATGCTGTTGGACTCTTTCAGATACACTTTTTTTTAAACCTTAGATGAAGACGTAATAACTGTAGCCCACCTTGGTCATCCTTGAGGCTCCATCCACAAGTCCCCTGGGCCACCATCTCCTCTTGAGCTTTGTTGTCCCTGCTGCTTTGTGCTGTTGCCCTTGACAACTGGGCCCTCCACAGTGCTGTCTTTTCTGGGATTACCCGACTGCGCCTTATCTTTCTGTCTCCAAGGAATGCTCCCTTGGTGGCTTTTCCCTTAGGACCTGGCTTTGTCAAGTGTGGGCTCCACTCTCCCAGCCTTGTCACCCTGTTTATTTTCCTTACCAGTTTCCCCATCCTTTCCCTTCTCTGCAGATCTCAGTATCTGGTTTTGGCTTGTTGGTTTTAACCCCAGGCCTAGTTATCACCGTGGGTACCTTTCATGTCCATAAGGATGACCTGTCTACACATTCTTCAGCCATCTACGGTCACACCCCTGGGCCTTGCCATCCTCAGAACTCAGTGCTCACTGTCCCCCCCCTTCCTGTTTATCCTGTCTGCCTCCTGCATCCTTCTTGTAGCCGTCAGCCCCTTCAGATGGCTAGCTTTCCTCTTGTTTCCAGCCTGTTGGCACTCTGCTTTCACTGCTAACACGTGACCCGTTCTTCATCTCCTCTGTTGGTGTTACCAGCATCTCTGTTGTCACATGTCCTCCTTCATGCCCTCTTTAGGAAACAAGTCACAGCCCTGGGTGGGTCCAGTGTCTGTCCAGGCTCCTGACACTGCTGGAGAGAATCACCCAGGTTTGCTTAAACTTACTCAGTCTCCCTGTCAGCTGGGCACCGGGTGCCAGCGGCACTGGTCTTCCATTTCCCTGGTCAGCCTCCATCCATTCCTGCAACAGCTTTTCAGTGCCTCCTGTTTACCGTATTCAGGACAAAAGCTGAGCTCCTTAACTTGGTGGTCAGAGCCCTCCATGATGTGATTGTTGCCTCATCCTTCACCACCCTCCACTGGCTTTATACAGTGTGAATAAAGGAGGCCCTCGAGGGCCCTTGTCCCCTTTTAAGGCAGACACCTGTGGGCTGTTAGTTTTCCCAGTGCTTTGCTGCAGGCTCTGCAGCACCAGGGAGGAGCCTCAGGAAATCTGCACATCTCGCCTTCTCAAGGCATGGGTCCCAGGGGCTTTCATTTTGTGTTCCACTGAGGCAGGGGTTCATGAGAGCATCTGAGGAAGTGTGACAAGGGTTGTTTCTGATGCGTGTCAGAGCCCACGCCTAGAGACACACTGAGTTTCAGCACACAGTTGAGTGCCCAGACCTGGGAATCGGCTTCAAAGGTCTGGTTAGAGAATGCTTCCTTTGAAAACAAAATAATAAATTCCCTGCCAGATATGGTGCAGCTCCTCCACCCTCAGCACACACATAGTAGACAGGCTGGCATCAGAAAGCCTGAGCGCAGCACATGTGTGCTGGGGCCACAGGGACTGAGATGCCCGTCGTGCTGGAGGCAATGGAAAATGGTGCATCCATGTCAGAAAACGGTGTGACCGTTTCTTGTACAATTAAGGGTGTTTTTACCACAATAAAATAAATATATCCACAGTAGCCCCTGCATTAAAGAGGAGTTAAGAAACCACCTACCTTATCTTTATCTGAAAGGAGGTTATTTGGCTAAAGGAGAGCAGGCTGGTCTGATCTGTACCTGTTCTGTCAGGAGCACGTGTGTGTCTGGTACCCCGGGAGCCTGCATCCAACTTCATACCGGGAGAGGTTTATTCCTGCCTCTTGGGACCCGTCACAGTGGATCCAGCCGGGCACTCAGACTGTCTTGGGGCCTGAGAGGGGCCACCTCTGGTGGCCTGTGTTTCACCCAGTTACTGGTGAGGTAGAACCAGTCACAGCCACCACTTATTGAGCACTTACACAAGAAACACATGATTTTGGTTTCACTCCCAGCCATATGAGGTGGATGTTTCCCCCTTCAGATGAAGAGAAGTACCAGGGTTAAGGCTTCTTCCCGAGTCTGTGTGCCATCACAGTTCAGATGAGATGCCGTGGTACCTAATGTGTGCCAGACTTCTGGGGTGTGGCATGAAATTCTGTGTTTTTGCTATCGAGTGTCAAAAAAGCAGGACTTCTTGTAATAAGCACATTGAGGCTTCCGAAGGTGCTGAAGTCACATGTGCATTCAGATACTAATAACAGCTGTGTCTGGGGTCCTTGGTGGCACAGACTTTACCAAATGCTGGCACTGACGCTTTAGCCTAGGTCGCAGAAGGCAGTGGGGTTTTTGCTGCTGCTTTTACAGCAGGACCTCTGGTCTTCAGAAAGCTGTCCTCTGCCTGCCTCCAGTGGGCCCTGGGTGGCCAGTGTCGGTACTGGATGTGTAACCGCTCTTTTTACTGTAGCTGTGGTTCTGTCAAATTTTCAGTGGGTCGCACCTTGTTGTATCTGTTGGGTGGCTGTGGGAGGAAAGGGAAGGGCAATTGGCTGGGAAGAAAAGAGGTCATGAGACTTCCATTTTCTTCTTCCTAGTACTGAGCATGCTTCATAGTCCACTGGGCAGTGTCCTGGGGAAGCCCCCTTTGAGCTTCCTGCCTCTGGACACCCTGGGACCTGACTTGGACAAGTTCCCAGCACCCTCAGTTAGAGGATCCCGCCTGGACACGCGGCCCATCCTGGACTCCCGTTCGAGCAGCCCCTCTGACTCAGACACCAGTGGCTTCAGCTCGGGATCCGATCATCTCTCAGATTTGATTGTATGTAGCTTGTTGAGGGGTGGGGTGGGAGGGCCAGTGAGCTTGAGGTGGGACGTGTGTCCACCAGAATGCAGGCTGGGAGGTGTGGAGGTCGCCGTGGCCACCTGCAGAACGTTTCATCCTCTACAGAAGAGGGGGTGCCCTGGGTACCCAGTGAGCAGTGCACATCAGGACCTGCACGGAGCACTCCCTTTATGGGCTGTTCCAAAAGCTGCTGGGAAACAGTTCATTTCAAAAGTAAACATGGAGTTTCAGCATTGTTCTGTTTCCCGACCTACATGGGGTTTTCTTTAGCCTGTAAACAGTATTATTTATGTACCTTTATGTATGATATCTCAGAATTTTTAAGTGATTATTTAAAAAATTACGTTAGTACAGACATACTTCATTTTTTTGCACTTCACAGGTGTGGCATTGTTTACAAACTGAAGGCAACACCCTCCACCAGCAAAAAGATTAGGGTTCACTGTCTTGTGAGACTTGCTTTATTGCAGTGGTCTGAAACCGGACCTGCGATATCTCTGAGGTGTGCCTGTAATTAGCAGGGCTAGGATTTTAATCCAGATCTGAGGGCTCCAGCTCGGAAGCTCAGTGCACTGATCCTTGCCATCTCTCAGTCTGGAGCCATGGCGAATCTGTGAAATACTGCCTCAGAGTTCATTGTGCAGCCATGCGCCTTTCCTACAGCCACGTGTGACGTGAGGCACCTGTGCTAAGTGGAATTGGCAAGGGGCTGAGAATAGATGAGGAATAGGGGATAGGAGAAGGAAATAGATGGGCCTGGCAGTGAGAGATGATCCCAAAATAAAAAGTACTTTCAAGGGCTTTCTGGTCCTGGCTTCTGTACTACTGAGTCCCTCGAGCTGACTGCTCAGTGAATGGAATGGTCTGTTTTCCTGTCTCTCTTCTTCGTATCCAGGACTGGCAGTTTCTGTTGTGGTCACACTTTCCCATTTATAGCACAACCCGTGGCCACCCACCTTGTCTCCTGTCAGCCTCACCTAGCACATGAGAGCTGGCATTGGTGTTCCTACCATGCACCACTTCTGTCTGTTCAGGTTGCATCCAGGGGGCAGCCACACGCAGGCCCTTTGATTATCTGGGCCACTGTTTACTCCCCTGTAAAATGGAGCTGGGTGAGGTGCTTCCGGTTCTGTTTATGTCACTCTCGGTGGGCCTCAGTTACCTCACAACTAACTGTAATATTTTGGGATTTCGTTTTAAAGAATTTTCTCAGTTACCTCACCCCCAGGGTTAATAGATGAAAGGATATGGACAGACAACTCGCAGAAGAGGAACTACGGGCAGTATTTGAACTTTTGGGAAATATTCTGTTGAGTAGTTTTTTTGTTGTTTTTTTTCATAATGTATCGTTTCACCTAGTTAAATCCGTAGAATTTAAAGCTTTGATGCAAATTTGTAGTGAAACTTGCATTCTCATATATTTATGACAGAGCTCTCATGGAAAGCATTTTGACACTCTAGACCTAGGAATATGACCAAAGAAAACACAAAATATGAAGAAGCTACACCTTAAATTATTTATTTATAATCCTGAAAACTTGGAAAGTATTTAACAGTGAAGAATAGTTCAGGGGGATGTAGTTTGTTCCCTATCTAGAGTATTGTAAGTTAATTAAAAACAGTTATGAAGACTGACAATATGAAAAGTTGAATTAGGGAGAAAGGAACTTGTTGAAATTATAGTAGAAGGACAGCTAATCTTAATATGTATGAAGAAAGTCTAAAAGAAAATATATCAACTGCTAAATGGTATTTTACATAGTTTTTATAATGTGGTTATTTTATAACAAAACTGTCCTTTAAAAATCTTCCTTTTTCTTCCCCTAGTCAAGCCTTCGCATTTCGCCCCCTCTGCCCTTCCTGTCTCTGACAGGGGGTGGTCCCAGAGATTCTTTAAAGATGGGGGTTGGTTCCCGGATGGACCAAGAGCAAGCTGCTCTCGCTGCAGTCACTCCCTCCCCAACCAGTGCATCAAAGAGATGGCCAGGAGCTTCTGTGTGGCCATCCTGGGACCTCCTGGAAGCTCCCAAAGACCCCTTCAGCATAGAGAGAGAGGCCAGGCTGCACCGGCAGGCTGCAGGTGAGTGAGTCTGTGGGCATGCCTGTGGCCCGAGGCCTCGTCCTGGAAACAGAGTAAGCAGCCTCAGTTCACAGACTGCGGAGCTATGTAGAAGAAGACTTGGTTGCATGGTGAAGTCTCTGGGTCTGCAAAGAATGGCCTGTTCCATGAAGGAAGTGCTGTGGGGACCAACTTGGGAATTCTGTGAGGCTGAGCCAAGAGAAAGGAGGTGATAATCTGGGAACAGGGCTGTGCCTGTGAGGGCTTGGCTCCATCTCACCTGTGCTGCTCCCTGGAGGTTGGCCGCGCATTGCTTTCCCTTCTCCTTTTGTCCCGGGTGGGCGTCTTCAAGAGAAACCCTGAAAGTGATGCCCAGAATTTTGTCTACCTCCCCGTTTAATTCAGAGACAACCCCTGCTGGAGCCTTCTGACCTGAGGCTTTCTGACTGGCATCTCGGGTGCACTGGGGGGTGAGGGGGCATTAGCCTCTAAGATAAGGGATGTCCCTGCATGTCCTGGTCTCCCAGGACCCTTAGGTTCTGTCATTTAGATACTCGTACGTATGTACTGAATCTGTGTTTCCTCTTACACCAGTACTTGGAAGTAAATGAGTGACAGAACCGTTGTTTGCCAAGGCGTCAGGGACGTGCCCCCTGACCACTGTTCTGAGGGTCAGTGTTGATGACGAGGTGAACGTTCAGTGTCTCCATCCCATTTGTTTCCAGAGGCTTCGGTGTGTCTGTTTTTCTACTTGCAGCACTGGCTCAGATCTCACACTCCCCTAATGGCGCTGCTGCCCTGTTCACTTAATGGTTTTGGCAACCCACCTTGGTGCTTTCTCTACTGCCATTGTTTTCCCTATGAAATGACGTTACCATGCTTTTGGACGAGGCCATTATATCGACTTCTGTTTTCGTTTGCAAAATATTGCTGATGGTGCCTAATTTCTTGCTGGAGCAACACATTGGGCCTGTACCTTTTAGAGAATGGCTTTCCATGCCATTGCCCTGAGCGAAAACGATGGTTCGTTCATTGGCTGTCTGCCCCAGTGCTGAAGGAGGCAAGTAAAGTAGGCAAGGACCAGCCATCACCACTGCGGTCAGTCTCAGATCTGGAATGGCACAGACTGAGTGGAGGCAGGATTAAAGGCTGGTAGAAGGCTGAGTTGGTCACTGAAAACAGAGAGGCTTCTAGAAATTGTCGCAGCAGGCCGAACAGAAGAGAACGTCTCCTCTGTATAGGGTTTCTGAAGGAGTCATTGGAGTCCAAGGCAGAGAAACCTCAGTGGGTTTGGACAGACTTGTGTTTGGTACAAACAGGAAACTGAGGGGAAGGCGCCGTGTCTGTTGGGGCACCATACAGATAGACCTGGCAGTGGCGGGGCTTGGTTTCTACTTGGGAACAGTTGAGACACTCTTGTTGGGTTGCTAGTGGTGGTTTTCATTGGCAGGGTCCTAACTTCTGTGATTGCCGAGTTCAGAGTGAAGACCGGGAAATAAGAGTCAAATGTTTCTCATTTGAACATCTGGAGAGGAGGCCTGTTTGGACCAGTATCCCTTGAGGATATTGTATACAAAATTCTCTGTTTATATTCAAGTAATTATGATTTAAATTAGTATTATAAGCAGTAACTAGATAAAACTGTTTTGTGAGTAAATTATGGCCTCTGTTTGAAAATAGCTTGGGTCGTGGTAATTTTTACCTTGCAAATCCCTTAAGTTTTAGTGAATTAGGGGTCTCCTGCTGAGCTGACCGGACTGGGGAGGTGTCAGTTTTCTTGCCTTTCAGAGTGGTCCTGGGTGTTCTCCCAGGCAGCCAGGCTAGTACTGTGGCCTGTCCAGCTCTTCCTGGACAACTTCACCCCAGAGAAGGGCAGTGACTTGGTCGATTGTCTGACCCCCTTTCTCTCTGTCTTCTGCCGAAGCTGTGAATGAAGCCACCTGTACCTGGAGTGGTCAGCTTCCTCCCCGGAACTACAAGAACCCCATCTACTCCTGTAAGGTGTTCCTAGGAGGTGTTCCTTGGGACATCACGGAAGGTGAGCTGTCTCCAAGACCTCCTGCTTCAAGCATTGCAGCCGGAGTATCTTTTTCAGGAGCATAAATCTTGGGCTTGAGGCAGGGCTGAGTTTGTGCCTGAGCACAGGGTGTTACAGGAGCAGCATAGGGGAGGGATGCACTTCCTAGACTCCCATAGGCTCTGTGTCACCTTACACTTGTGCTTATACTTGTCACCTGAGACCGAGGTCAATTGTGAGTCGTTTGTCAAGCAGGATGAGCCTGGGAGAACCCTGGTTGCCCTGTACCTGCAGGGGATGGTGTGTGCCTCAGCTTCACCATTCTTTCCCATCTCTTTGCAGCTGGATTGGTTAACACCTTCCGTGTCTTTGGCTCTTTGAGTGTAGAGTGGCCTGGTAAGGATGGCAAGCACCCTCGGTGTCCTCCCAAAGGTAATATGCCTAAAGGTAATAAAGACGTGGTAGGAGCTTTTTTTTTCCCTAGCACATACTTGCACTGAGTGGTGCTGGGATGTCATCACTGCATGCTGGTAATATGGTTGGGGCACCTCGGAGCACACAGCTTTCAGCCATCAGCACCTCTCTCCAACTAGCACACCCCTCTGTTTCTTCTGAGCTAACATTTCACCCGTCCAGACTTACCTGCGGTTGGAGCTGCCTCCGAAACCCCTGCGTGTAACTTCCTTGTGCACTTCCCTCCAAACCTGAACTCAGCCGCTCCTTTCCTCTCAAAATGAGGCGTTCGAAAAGCTTTCTTTTGCCTGCCTTTCCTGCCCAGTTACATTGTCGCCTGACCTAGTTCTGAGATCCCTTAGGAGTTAGCAGGAATGAGGACCAAGCACCTGATTCCTCACTGGTCTGAAATGAGATCCCTTCCCTGTAGGAAGGAGCAGGTGCTATTTTCACTCTGGCCCACCTTCATTGAAAATGTTCCGATGAACTGGACCAGTGGTCTAACTAGGCTTTTAGAGCAGTGCCTCCATCCCAGCAGACGGGCCACAGACCTGCCGTCCCTCCTGCCAGGACAGCCTGGCTGTGCTGACCCGAACCTGTTCTATGTCCAGGGACACAAGAGCTGTGTAGTAATGACCATCTCTATCCTACCCTGTTAGTCCCTTCCCCGATTAGGATGGGAGATGGTACATGTCTCCCTCCCCTGGCCTGGGCATTGGGCTTAGCAAGCGCTTCCATTCAGCAAGACTTCCCAGAAGTGGAATAAGGTTATATCTCGCACAGGAGGCCACCTTTCTTGGAAGAAACTCCCAGCTGCAGTGCTGAGGCTGAGAAGGGGCCACCTGAGGGACTTTAATGCCATTTCTCCTTTCGCTGGGAACAGGGTATGTGTATCTGGTCTTCGAACTAGAGAAGTCTGTCCGGGCCCTGCTCCAAGCTTGCTCGCATGACCCACTGAGCCCAGACGGCCTGAGTGAATATTATTTCAAGATGTCCAGCCGAAGGATGCGTTGCAAGGAGGTGAGTTAGCACGACGTCCTTTCTCGGTCCGGGCAGCTGGCGTGTGGGGCCGTGGGTTTCCCCGGGATGGGTGGGGGGATATGCAGGCTGCAGGTGAGTATGCCCACCGAGACAAAAAGGCTGCCCTTCCTACCCCACACGCAAACAGAGCAGATACTCTCAGTTACATGTGAAAAACAAGCAGCCCTTGGGCACTAGCATGGGACCTGTGTGCCCCTGCCCTTGGCGGTCAGCCTCCCAGTCCTAACTTCGCTCTGACTCTAGCTAACACTTCGGTCCGAACATGAAACTGAAAATCACAGCAACTTCCAATGTGTAGCGGATGAATTCCTCTGGAAGCCACACCCATTCTCTCTAGTCTCACGTCCTGCTGGAGCCCCACCTTCCTTTGGGGCCTTGTTTGGGATGTCCTGTAATCCCAGACTCTTCTGTTTAGTGTTAAGAAAAGCTTGGAAAGCCTTGGTGACCGTTGGGATGTGGGCCGAGATGGTGATACTTCCCCATGGGAGTAGAAAAAGCAAAATGGGCTTTTACATCTCTTTGTAAAGTTGGCCCCCATGGTACCTTCTGCCAGGCTCTCTCCTCTCAGGGTCACCTAGGCCTGCAAGCCACCTGTCCTGATTCCTCCTGGTTGTCTCCCCATTGCCCAGATGCTCTGAGCTCTGCACACTCGCCTGTTGAGGAGTCTTCTTGGTCTTGGCCTGCTCTGTGCCCAGTGCCTGGCCTTCTCCAGGTCTGCACCACCTGACCTCTGAACTACTGTTTCTGCCTCCTTGCTGGTTTCTGCCTCAAATCTCTTCCTGCGTTGAGACTTTTTTTAGATCTTCACAGAGTAATCTTCCAAAAACACTGGTCATATGTCAGCACACTGCATTGTGCAGTGTCCTGCCTGCTATGCCAAATTTTGTTCCAGGCTCGGGAATCAGAGGCAAAGGGTATTGTCAGCTGCTGTCCTAATGTCACTCTGCTCTGTGAGCTGTCAGTGGCCTGCCTCTCTCATTATTCCCACTGCCCCAGCACATTGCGCCAGTGACCATCTCATACAGATACCTTAAGCGTCCCCACCCTCTGTCCTCCCAGCTCCTAGCTTTCAGTTTCTCTGTGAATCCTTCCTGTCCCAAGGACTCCAGACCATGCTCTCGGCTCATCAGTGTCCATGGTCCTTTGTCGGAACCACACAGTTGATGGCTGTAACACAGAGCTGCGTCCCTGGGTACAAGGACAGCTAGGTACTGTTTGCGTGCCCTGCAGCTTGACTGACTGCTGTTTGAGCACTTACTTTCACCATGTGGACACGTGGACTCGATAAAATTCAAGTCTAGTTGGGTTGGGGTGAGTGTGGCTTATGTGCCTGGGTTGGGTGATAGCGCCTTCTCCCCGCTGTCCGGGCTCAGTGGCCCAGTGTCTGTGTCTCCAGGGGCTTGTGCCTTTCCATACCAGAGCCTGCTTGTCTGGCTCCCGACCAAGGCCAACACACCTTTGGGTGGTTTTCAGGTACAAGTGATCCCCTGGGTCTTGGCCGACAGCAACTTTATCCGGAGCCCATCTCAGAGACTGGACCCCAGCAGGACGGTGTTTGTGGGTGCTCTGCATGGGATGCTCAACGCCGAGGCCCTGGCAGCCATTTTGAACGACCTATTTGGTGGAGTGGTGTACGCCGGCATTGACACAGATAAGCACAAGTATCCCATTGGTGAGTGTCCCACTTCTGTGTGGGAAAGCTCGGTGGCCCCTGGGATGCAGACCAAGACAGATAGTTCCCCATGGGAGTTGTGGGGGTGGGGGAGCTGACCCAGGTCTACAGTAGATCAGCAGCATAGCAGCCTTTTCAGATAAGCCGCCAGTACTGACCCCTCTGCACCTACCCCTCCACCTCCCATGAAGCAGAAAACACAAAGTGATAAGAGAGCACAGGAGATGAAAAGGAGACAGGGACTTGGGTGGGAAGCCCAGCTTTCACAGCCAGACCAGTCTGGGACAGACAGCCTGTGATGCTTCATTAAAGGCCAGGACATCCTGAACTTGCCTGTTTCCCTGTGTTAAGAGTTCTTGAAAAGTGGCCTTGTCTGGGGTCAGGAACCAGGTCAGGCTAGAGGAGGACTCTGGGTGAGTCAGCAACAGAGTGGTCATGGCCTTTGCTGTCCTAACAGAGGGAGTCTGGGCCTCACCTCTGGGATTTTGGTCAGCCCCTCTGAGAAAGGAGGGCGATGGTCAGTGCCCCGGTGAGGCAGAATGGTCTCAGTGGTGGGCTTTGGATGTGGAGCAGAGCTGGCCTTTCTTGCCAAGACATGGCTGAATCCCTCCCCTGGTGCCTGGTCTGCACACCCACACTCAGCTGGTCAGGAAGGATCACCGTGTACCCATCAGCGCTGCACCACAGACCGAGAACAGGGACTTCAGGGGCAGCACTGGGCAGGACAAGGCTGTCCTGGCCCCCTGCCAGGTCTGGAGGGCCCACCTTCAGAGAGAGGTGCCGTCTGCATCTTGGTTTCCACTCAGCCCTCTATCCTCACCTGTGCATCTTCCTACATCACTTCCCTTCCCTCCCGATTTTGGTCAGCTGATCTTTCCCCCATTTCTGTTTGGTTGGTGCCATCATGGTCTGTAACCACACCATGTAATATGGTAGCCACCCACTGAATGTGGCTACTGCGTGCTTGAAAAGCAGCTAGTGCCACATGTTGAAATAATGTTTTGGATATATTGGGTTAAATAAAATACATTATTAAAATAATTCCACTTTTTTTTTTCACCTAAATACAACTATTAGAAAATTTAAAATTACAGAAGTAACTCCCTTCTATTTATTCTGGACATCACTCAGGATTTCCTGTGTGTTGACAAGTGGCATTTGAGAGAATTTGGCTAGAAAGTTTTTTTCTGTTGTTACAACAGGGTCTGGTCGTGTGACTTTCAGTAACCACCGTAGTTACCTGAAAGCAGTCAGTGCTGCTTTTGTGGAGATAAAAACCACCAAGTTTACCAAGAAGGTGAGTGGGCTAGTCTACAGCCTTCCTGGGGCCCTGAGAGGGGTCTGGGCCAGTTACTACCCAGGGCAGGACTGTGACTGGAGCTGGGTGTGCCCCAGGGAGGGAGCCAGGCTGCTGGGGACTCAGTGGGGTTCAGGTCTGGGGGTGGGCCTGACCTTGCACTCAGAAGAGGGCACCAGGACTGTTGAGCCTTCTCAGCATGTGGGGTGCCTTCCCTCACTGTGGTATTTGACCAGCACAACTTCCATGCTGATCTGCGTCCTCCTAATGAATGCCTGCCTGTCGCTGGGAGCTAGAGTGCTGGGGTACAGTGTGCTGACAAGGCCAGACAGGAATGTGTGTGGAGGCCCAGACTGCAGAGGCTGGCAGCCTGGCCCTGCATGGTGTGCGTCTGTCCTCTAGGATCTCTGTACTCGCCCCGTAATTCTCTCCAGGCCCCTTTAACACGGGAAACGCTCTGCCTTCTCAGGTAGAGCCCAGCCAGGGGCCCAACCCTCCTAGCCCATGGCCTCCTGGTGCTAAGAGCCACTTCATTCTCCCCTTCTGCTTTATCCAGGTTCAGATTGACCCCTACCTAGAAGATTCTCTGTGTCATATCTGCAGTTCTCAGCCTGGTCCTTTCTTCTGTCGAGATCAGGTGAGTCCCCTGGGCACTTGAGTTGTCTAGGAAGTCCCCTCCCTCACTTAAAACTGGTCACCCCATGCGTCACATAGGATGTTGGTGTTCTCAGGGACCCTGTGGTCATCTGAGCACAGAGGAGGTGTTGATGCTCAGCAGGGGCACACTTGGACAGCTTGACCCAGAACACTTGGGAAAGCTCGCTGAGTTGAGTCTAGACTTTGGCTGTCTTTGTGCGTGGGATGGTGCCAGGCAGTGGGCACTAGTGCTGATCGATTGGTGCTTTTTGAGGATGCTAGGAACCTGGGTGGGTGTGGTCAGCCGTACCTATGAGCCGGGCACTGTCCTCAGAACTCTGAGGCCCTCTAGGTGATTTTCCCCCATTTAAGGATCCCTTCTTTACTTCTGAGCCTTTGGACTCTTTGATGATTGTACCCCCAGTTGTCAGAAACAGACAGAAAGCAGTGTTTCTGGGTAGTGGCACACAGATCTGGGTGTGTTTGGGCAGAAACGCTTCTCACACTGTAATATGCAGCAGACACATCACCTGAGGACCTTATTGAAATGCGGATCCTGATTCAGTGGGTTTAGAGTGGGGCCTGAGACTGTGTTTCTGACAGGTTTCCAAGTGGTGCCAGCGTTGCTGGTCTGCACAGACTGTGACGAGGGGAAGTGTGGGGCCTCGCAGGCTTCCATGCTTAGTTTTTTGCAGCGGTGCTGTCGCTCAGGTTTGGAGTCTCTGGGTACAGTCATTAAACTGAGGCTCCAAAATGAGGGTGTGGAGTATGTTTGGGTCAAGCCTGAGACCGAGTAGCTCTCTGATCAGCCTCTACAACAGGCTTTCATGTGTCAGATCTTTCACAGGTGACCCCCGTTCTCAGGTAATTACTCAGAGGTCAGTGGTTTGCCACAGGTTACACAGCTCAGCCAGAGGTAGGACGGAGACCCAGGTGCATACCCAGTCACCTGTCCTCACTTGGCGTGAAGAGGAAGGCATGTTGTCTCCACTATGATCAGGAGTCACTGTCTAAATGTCCTCACATATTAGCACGCACGTGACCCAGGCCCTCTGTGGGCGTGAGCCCAGCAGGAGCTAGAGGAGCAGTGGGGAGGGGGTGAGGGAGCTGGCCCAGCCTCCACACAGTGGGAGCCCCTATGTTCCCTGGAGTCAGGGCACTGCAGGACCACAGACAGTGGGTTTGCTGGGGCCGGTCAGGCCTCTGTGTTAGGGGCGACAGGGTTCCCCAAGACCCTATCTGCCAGCCCCACAGAGGCCATCAGGAACCCCACTCCCTCACAAGCAGGGCTGGCCAGTGCTGACACAGGCGAGGCCTGTCTCCCTTTTTCTACCCCCTTCCCCCGCCAGGTGTGCTTCAAGTACTTCTGCCGGAGCTGCTGGCATTGGCGGCACAGCACAGAGGGCCTGCGTCACCACAGCCCCCTGATGCGGAACCAGAAGAACCGAGATTCCAGCTAGAGGAGCACGCCTGACCCGGTGGCCTGTGGTGCCTCAGGCTGGCAGGGCAGGCAGCAGCCTGCACCACCCACCGGCCTGGCGACCAGGGAGCTGGCTTCCCTAGGACAAGGGAAAATCGTAGTCACCTTTGCACTTGCTGAATCTGTCTTTGTTTCTGCACTAATTAATGCACAATGAGTTTTGTCGGGTTTTGTTTTCAGGGGGTGGGCCAGGGCAAGGACCCTCGGGCTCACCCTCCAAGCGACTCTGTAGTTTTCCCAGATTTAGTTCCTCATTTTGCCGATGAAAAAAAGCAAAAAAGAACTACGTGTCCAGAAGGTATTGACACGATGCCTACATCTAGGTTTATTTATTGAAAGCGCTTTTTTTACATTCCTTGCAATACCGACCGTGATATGATGCGCAGGTCTCATTGGTTTCATTCTTGCAGTCGCCATACAGTGCCTTTCCATTGATTTAACCCCCACCTGAACGGCATAAACTGAGTGTTCAGCTGGTGTTTTTTACTGTAAACAACAAGGAGACTTTGCTCTTCATTTAAACCAAAATCATATTTCATATTTTACGCTCGAGGGTTTTTACCGGTTCCTTTTTACACTCCTTAAAACAGTTTTTAAGTCGTTTGGAACAAGAGATTTTTTTGTTTGTTTGTTTCCTGGCAGCTTTTAACATTATAGCAAATTTGTGTCTGGGGGACTGCTGGTCACTGTTTCTTACAGTTGCGAATGAAGGTATTTGCAACCAAGAAAAAAAAATTTTTTTGAATTTGAAACTGGATGATAAACGGTGTTGGAGCAGCTGCTGTATATAGTTTTAAATGGTTTATTGCACTGTCTTAAGTTGCACTTATTTGGGGGGGAGGGTTGATAGAAGTTTTTAATCACAAAGTCACAGGACTTTTTTCTTTTGTAACTGAGCTAAAAAAAGGGCTGCTTTTTGGTGGGGGCAGATGAAGGCTCACAGGAGCCCTTTCTCTTAGAGGGGACAAGTACCCTTTCCTGTTTCTTTCATTTGAGAAATGTGTGAAGCATCAGTTGCAGTCGACTGAAATGCTACTGGAATTTAAAAACTTGACTTTTTCTTTCTTTTTTTTAAAACCTACTTGCCCCTTTTTGGGAAGCTGTGTGCCAAAGAACCAGTGTCATTA